GGATCTCTATACACAGATCTGATACAGTGCCTTCCATTGGCAGTTCATGTTAATGGATATGGCCCATTAGATGATCTGCTTATAATGACTGTGATATTCTTCTACATGCAATAATCCATTTGGTGCAAAATAGACGTTTTTCTTTCATTAGTCCCTATTACCTTAAAAACAATTGACATCCTAACAAAACATTGAAATTACCATCTTTAAAGACATACCTCTGTCATATGCCTGAAATCCATGACAACTAGACAAAATCATGGTTTAAAATGCTTAAGAGCCCATATATAGAATGAATATTTGTAATTAAGGCAGTGGACTGGAAAGAAAAGATGATGACAGGAACAGGTTTTTTGTGGGCTAGTTCCCTGCCACACTGACATTATTTGTAAGAAACTGAACATTAAGAAAATTTTGATCATTTAAGCACCATGGAAATATAGTGTGCAACCAACATTGTGAGAGATTACCTATGATTGTCAGTTTTTTTATCAGTCATAATTCACTTTGTATGTCAAGTATTCAGAATCCATCTGAATTCAACATGTAGATTTTATTATTCAGTTTAGTAAACTGAAGAAAGCTGAAGTTAGGAGCTTTTGTATGCCATTGCCCATTTCTATTGAATTAAGTCATTGCATGAATATCAATTTCCCTGGCAATTTTTTTTTTTTTTTTTTTTTTTTTTGCTTAAAGATGAAAACCTGAAGTAGTCCAACTTTAAGGTACACTCCATAAGATTTATGCCAAAACCGATTTTCCTAGGCAAATAAACAATCTTCTCCTACTCTTGAATCATTTACCACTCCCTCTCTGCAGTTGGATTCAACCTTTGATAAAATTTATAAAGGTTGATTTAGCTTAAAATGATTGACCAGTTATTTTAAGAGTGACCATCTTCCTATTAGCTCCAATGGAAATATCAACATCGGGTATGCTCCAGAAAAAAATATTTATGGGGTTAAATCATTTTTAAGGTGTAAGTTTTTATAAGAAGCTGTGGATGGAAAAAAAGCATTTTGGGGATTTTCAAACCCATGGATTGTACCTTTAATATTTAAGGTTCATTTTCAATATAATATTCCAAAAACTATAAAAATTTTTGATTCCAGTGTAAAATCACATAAAAGATTTTTTATTCATTAATGGGACAGATTTACAATGATAAACTCTTAGAAAAACAAATGAAGTACAAGTCCATTACTTTCAGCAAAATGTATTTTTATGCAGTACATGTTAATTTGGTGTGCAACTAATAATCCATAATAACCATGTTCACAGGGAAAAAAATCTTTTCATGGTGCTCTGTACGTCACATTTCAAATGTACATATACATTTTTATCTGCAATAAACAATTAATATAACTAGTTTATCTTAAATTTAGTGAATTTATTTTATTAACTCATATGTAGTCAGACATATATTTCAGTTGTGGGATTGATATGCAAACTTTTAAAATACTACTTTTAATACAAATAGCTGACAAACAACTACTTAACACTTAAATTTAATAGTCTCAAAATTCAGATCTATCACTTTTGTTGTCAGCAATCTCCATTACTTCAGATATTGACTGCACTCCTGCAGAGGAAGTTTGAGAATAGTCGTCTTTTTCCTTAGCAGAATGTCTCCCTGAAGCCTTGGATTTATCTTCCAGTTTTTCTTCAACATGATCATTATCTTGTGAATAGCTTGCATGTGACCCTATCTCATCTGGTGTCTGTCCATCCTGATAAGGAGAAGCTGCACTGGAATGCAATGGTGATTTTGTGTCTTCAGATCTTTTTGACTGCGAACTTGTTCCTGATAGTGATTTGAGGACTTCCTTCACATCTTTTGACCTGCTACTCTGTGACTTCTCTGATTTAGATTTCCCCGATTTTTCAGACTCAGATTTCTCAGACCTCTTAGACTCGTCCTTCTCAAGGTTCTCCTTTTTTGAACTTTGATTGTGAGAACCAGCCGACTTGTCCAATTCACCCATGGACATCTTACCACTGAGACTAGAATGAGAAGACTTGCCTTTTGAGTCACCCTTGGATGAATGAGAATAGGTTGACAGAGAGGTTGGGGATCTGTCTGTGTGTGACTGCTTCAAATACTCTTCATTTCTACTGCCCTTTTCAGTCGAGTTGTTGGGCCATTTAAATTGCTTTGCTTTTCTTTCTTGGTGTAGATAGTCATCTTGCTCTGCAGAAAGCTTTGCCCCTTGGAAGTTGGGGTGTGGTTTAGATTGGACCTGCACCTCCTGACTTACTAGAGGTGGTCTGGTTTCTGGTGGAGCAGCAAATTCTGTGCTGAACACATAACCTGCTATCTCACTGTTGATGTTGTCCAGTTCCTGAGCAACTCCTCCTACACAGCTGTCCACAATCTCATCAGCAATGCTGAAATATTGTACAACAATTACATCTTAAATGTATGTGTTGTGTTGGATATATTAACAAAGTAGTTAGTGCAAGTCATGCACATATGTAAGAAAGTATAAAATATATAATTAGATTTTGTTAAATGTATTTTATGCAGATGAATAAAAAGTAAACCATTTTTTTAACTTAAAGAAAAGTGGTACAATGATATATCTTACTCCTCAACCAGTTTCCATGGGTCAAATTTACCAACAGCCTGGTGCGATACTCGTTTTAGATGCCTTTCAAACTGTTTTCTGTATTCTTTGATACTCTCCACCTGTTCTTGTGGCATATGCATCTTTACTTTGTTTATTGTTGGTGTTATCGAACCCTCCTTTTGTTCCCATGTCATCTGAGATAATCTATGTGCAGCATCTCTGTCTTGGGTTTTCTTGGTGAAGACGATAAGATCTTTTAGGTTGCTCCTCTCTGGAGTGCTGCTGAAAAGATGAATAAATATTCACATTAAGATTAAAAACACATTTAGAGTTTATAGCCAGGAAAAAGATAACAGTTCAATAAGTTGGAAGATTAATTTTGATCTAACTGAATAAAAACATTAAAATATGCTGGAAAAAGAGCCAAATTATTACTGCAGCATCATCATGCATCCTGATTGAAAAATCAATGCACTCTACATCCTGCACTAATGGGTTAAAAAAACAAACTAACTAACCTTTGCCTACGAGTGTGTGGTACAGGCTGCAGGAAAGCCATGGCCTGCCGTCTCTGTTGCTCCTGGTCAGACTTGCTGACATGAATAGGAACTGGGTGCTGTGGCAGCACAGGTACATCTTCTATAAGATAATCATTCTAGCTTCAGCATGCAAACACAATATAAGTAAATCTACATACTTCCTGTTCAGATTATGTTATTATGTTGTATTCTAGGTTAAAGTGGCAATTCTTAGATATCAAGCCTAGTGCAAAACGGTACTGAAAAACAGACAATCAAGCCTTTAATTGTATGGCAGTTACCTATTTCTTCTTCTCTAGAGGCTGCATCATTGTAATCAACTGTTGTCCATCTTCTCCTAATTTCGTCTCTTTCACTCTGAAAAAAAATATCAGGTTATAGCACGATAGAAGTGTCTGTGAAATAGGTACCTACATTTTTTACCCACATTGTACCTGAATTAGATTGATGTTGGTTAGGTAATAAAAATTCGTGTAGCAAGTCCCTGGATATAGCTCATGCAGTATACTACACACACAGGTATAACAGCTTAACAGATGTGACACAAACCTCAATTTGTTCTAGCCTGTGAAGCATGCTTTCCAAGTTAGAGTGCCTTTGTCTTTCCATTTTTTTATTTGTTCTGATGTCCTCTAGTTCCTCTGCAGCATCACGGATAATATCACTCAAAATCATGTCACTCAAAATGTCAGTATTCACTTCCACCTAAAATGTCAACAACATCAACAACAAAAAAAATAATATTCTGGGTTGTTACAGTTAAAGTAACCCAAGTGCTTGTATATAACAAATCAACATTTGACCAAGTACTGAAAATAAAAGCTAGTGGCAATGGGGAAAACCTTTCATTCCTGAAGTCAGCCTTACCTGTTCTGTGATTTTGTCTGACAGCCGGTGTCTAAGAGACTGCTGACTTAACCTCTGCTCTGCTGCATGAGTTTCCGATATTTCCTTAGTGAGAGAAAATAATACAATTATCTCAAAAATCAATTAGAAAAATTTGAGGCACAGGAAAAACTGCTTGGACATCAACACATAAAACAACATCATTGTTATCAACAGCTTTCTAAA